CTTCACGTGGAAATGCTCTTCTGAGGGCTCTCATGGTTTGCCACCACGTCACAGGGATCCCAGTAGGCTAACGGGGAGGATTTCACTCCATTTTCCCTAAGTTACATTGATTTTAAAAATCAGGTTTCCTTGCTTTCCAGGGAAGGGACGAAGTGTGGACTTTGTCCCAAATCCCTTTTAGAAACATTACACGAGAAAGCAGATAGTAAGGGGGCATATTCTAAAGAAAGCATCAAAGTTGTCTCTCGCCCACAACCTCTCTTCCTGGACCCTCAGTCCCCTCCTCCCATAAAGCTGGCCTCCTCAGAGCATCCGTCTTGCACATCCAAGCTTTGTGTCTCTTCCGTGCTGTTCATCCCCGCTTCCCGTTGACCTCTCTGTGCACCACCCCACTTCCCAGCAGATCCCGTCATCCTTATGACCCCTTTCTTGACCCCAGAGCCCACACACTTGTATTTAAATCTCCACTCTGTCTCATCTCAGAGGCGGGACCCGGGGCAAGCACATAATTCCCTTGAATCTCCTTCTTTTTCTTTAGTCTGTAAAATAGACCTGAAAAAAACACAACTCCTGGAACTTTTGAGAAAATTCAGTGCAACAGTTTGTTTTTTTCACCGCTGGTGCTGGAACAACTGGATATTGAAAGCAAAAAAAAAAAAAAATGAACCTCAGTCTTTACCTTGAACCAGACCCAAAATTAACTCGAAATGGTTCAGAAACCTAAATGTGTAAAATAAAACTATAGAACTGAGAAGAAAGGAGGGAAGAATGCACGTGCAGCTCTGGGATAGGCAAAGCTTTCTTAGATGGTGATAAAAAAAAAGGTAATAAATTCTACTGCATCAAAAATGAAACTTTGGCCTTTGAAAGCCACCGTTAAGGAAATGAAAAGACAGACCACAGTCTCAGAGAAACTATTTGCAACACGCACATCTGATGAGAGATTCATATCCAGGACTATAACGCCATGGCAAATAACTCAATTTTTGAAAAGAAAAAAGGCAATTGATGTGAGCAGATTCTTCATGAAAGAAGACATATGGATGGAGATGAAAAGATGGTTAGTGTCATTTGTTGTAAGAGAAAGGCAAATTAAAACCACAATGAGATGCCACTACACATGCAATGGCATATTATGTATCAGATGATATAATAAACATGTAACAAATAATATATTGTGTATAAATAAGTAATATAAATACAAAGTATACACCTAATGCTAATAGTGGCTACAATGAAAATTATTGATAACACCAAGTGTTGGTGAGGATGGGGACCAACTGGAAATGCAAAATGGCACAGCCACTTTGGAAAATGATTTGATGGTTTCTCGTAAGGTTAAATATCAACTGTATGATTTAATTGTCTCACTGCTAGGTTTTCATGCTGCTAGAAATTCACCCAAGAGGAAAGGAAATGCATGTCCATACAATGACTCAGACATGAATATTCGTAGCAGCTTTATTCATAATAGCTGACAACTGGAAACAGCCTAAATGGCCATCACCAGGTGAACGGAAACCTCTCAGCAATAAAAAGCAGTCAGCTGTTCGTGCACGCAAGAACATGAATGAATCTCAGAACAATTACTCTGAGTGGAACAAGCCAGAGAAGAAAAGGAGTTTGCAGGATGTCTGATTCCGTTTATAAAAAATTGTAGAAAATACGAACTAACGTGGAGCGACAGATGGCACATTGGCGGTTGCCTGTGTTGGAGGGATTGGCAGCAAAGCGGAATTAGGAAACTTGAGGTGTGCGGGGAGTAAAAATATCCTGAATCTTGATAGTATAATGATCGCACAGTTATATGTATTCATTAAAATGCACTTGATGCAGACTTAAAATAGGTACGGTTTCTGCAGATAATTTGTATTGCAGCAAAGTGGATTAAAGTTTTTAAATGCAGTGAGCTTGGGGTCCGTTGAATGCAATCTTTTTCCTGCATAAACTCTGTCTCCACATAGAGCTCAGAGCTGCCTTACGTACGCATTTTGCAGGGAACTATATCCTCGACGCATAGTTTGTGCAACAGCTGATTCGTAAAAGAGCTGATGGGCCCTGCCTTATCGGATCCCCGAGGTGTAAAATCCTAGAACTCAGGTAAGATCCAGGGGCCAAGGATCAGCAAAAAGCAAACGTCCCTTGCTTCTTATCTTTCTATTTTTCAAGTGGCTTCAGATCCTGCAAACGGAATTTCCTTTGGCGCACGCCCTCACACCTCCCTTCCCTGCAGGTGCGAGCCATGACCTTCAGCCTGTGACCTTTGCACTAAGGAGATGGTGTTTTTCAGCCGAGCTCTCGCTTGCAGGATGTGCCCGGGATGCAAAACCAGCCCAGAACTGCACACGCAGAGAAGACAACAAAACATGAGCTTTGTTATTTCCTTTCAAACAATCTGAGCCTGTTTCCCGCCTCCCAGGTCCGCACCTGAATGCATTTTGTATAATTTATTTCTGTGTCGTGCGTGTTCTTTCTGGGGGTCCCGAGCATTCGTTAGGATGCATACCTTCTGTCGATGAGGAACGCGTGGACCCAGGACATGAATTCTTGACGAGATGCATATATGCATGGGTCAGAGGTATCAATTTATGAGAAGAGCCTGTAACACAGAGAAAGGCACCGATTGGTTGGGAACAGGGACCTGTCACGACCTGTGGGTCATTTAGGGGCAGCAAGGAGGAGCTGCTCTTGTAGTTACTGAACTGTCTGCATTTCAGAAATATTTTCTAATTGAATGCCTGCCTCATTATGCCCTTCAGATGTTCCAGAACCCCAAAGGATAACACTATCGGAGAAAAAAACAAATCTCCCTTCATCCTTTGCTGTTCACATGCCCGACCCCCACAGGTAACCATCATTCCTGTAAGTCCTGCTTCCTTCCAAGCAGATACGAATGTCATGCATGATTTTACCCCATACGTGCTCTTTTTGAACGTATATTTTTAACATAGCATGGGGATTTCCCACATCAGTAAAAAATGAACATGCTCATTTTTAAAAGAGGGACGTGGGACCAATTGTGGGGACGAATCACGATGCAAATAACTGGCCGGGTGATCGTGGTGGCTTGGATGGCTGTCGATACCTTGGTTTTCCGATGTTGGCGTGAACGACCTGGGCATTAGCTCATCCGCACGTGTGAAAGTGCGTTGGAAGGATACACCTGCAGGGTGGATTTTCGGGGCAAAGGGAACATGCACTGCAGTTTTCAGGGATCCCACCGAATGGCGCCCATAGGGTGCAGCCCTTTGCACTCCTGGTAGAGCCCTGCGTCCCCCACAGCTGCACCTCCAGAGAACGCGATCCGTCTTTTCCTCTTTTCAAATATTTGCAGACATATGTCTGTGGCTTTGTTATGTAGGATTAAGCTCCTTATAAGCTGATACTAGGAGAAAAAAAAAAAAAACTCTGGATATGAAATGACACAAAATTCCAGAGGGAACAGGTCTTAATTCTGCTGGCAAAGGTACCCGTGTCACAGCAATCGTGGGCTCTGGTGGGAAAATCCCGACCTCAGCTTGGTTTGCCATAAAAAGACACTCCTGCGTAGGAAGAAATGTAGGGTTTTCAGAAGGCTGGGCATCGTCATAAGGATTCAGTTTATTTTTTTTTATTTCAGATGTGCCAAAGCTCATCATTTAAACGTATTATTGTGCAATCAATCTCTGGTGTTTACATCATTCTGATGTGTGGAATGTGATTCTCTGTGTAGTAAAAAAAAGCATCCTGATTACGGAAAATTTCAGCCAAGAGGACGGTCAGAGAGGAAGGCACCCTGAGACCCCTGGGATCCATCTCCAGCTTGAAGATGGCCTCATTGCTCTGTCTTTGCTCCGTGGTCCCCACCTCAATTTTTCGGTGTAATTTGCGTTTCCATTCGTCATATCATGAGCGAGGGGAGCGTCGTTACTCATGTTTAAATCGCTGGCAAGTCCCTTTCCGTGAACGGTGCTTTGGCACCTGCGTCCCTCTCCTGTTGAGTTTTTCGGCCAGTAGAAAAAAGCGTGCTTCCGTTTGGCAACTCCTAGGTGTTTTTTGTGTATCAGGAAATACTTTTCTCCATTTGTTGTTTATCTGTGAGCAGATGGCTGGTTAAATAAACGTCCACTCCGCCTGGCGAGGAAACATTTCTCTTTACGTATGTCCAGTGACTCCTTTGAATTCTCCAGACCTGTTTTAATTATTTTTTTTCAAATAGGTGGCCCATATTTTTTATGTTCTTGGATGTTTATCTTTGATGATCCTTTTTGTTGTTTGTAAATGATATGGAATCGAACTCTCCATGGGTGCTGGCTGGGATCTCGGCTGGCATCTCGTGCTCCTGTTCATCATCTCAAGCAGGGAAAAGGGGCAGAAACCGTTGTGGGTTTTTTTTTTTTTTTACGTAAAACTCATGAAATGTAAAAGTCACCATTTTAACGTTTGTAAAGCGTACGAGTCAGAGGCATTTAGTACATTCACGTTGTTGTGCAACCATCACCACTGTTTGGTTCCAGAACATTCTCATCTCCCCAAAAGGAGACCCCATACCCACCAACAGTCACTCCCCATCACCCTCCCCAGCCTCTGACAACCACTCATCCACCTTCTGTCTGTGGATTTGCCTGTTCTGGACGTTTCACATAAATAGAATCACACACTGTGTGTCCTTCTGTGTCTGGTTCTCTCACTGAGCATCATGTGTTCAAGGTCCATCCAGGTTGTAGTCGTTTCAGTGCTTCACTCCTTTTCATGGCTGAGTAATATTCCACTGTACGGGTGGACCACATTCTGTTTATTCATTCCTCCATCAATGGACACTTGGGTTGCTTCCACCTTTCGGCTGTCGTGAATAATGCTGCTATGAATGTTCACATACAAGTATCTGTTTGAACACCAGTCTTCAATTCTTTTGAGTACATACCTGGGGGTGGAATTGCTGGGTCACACGGTAAGACTATGTTTAGCTCTTTCAGGAACTGCCCAACCACAAACCCTTTTAGAAAGAGGAGTGGCCCTGGTGGGGGCTGTTCATGGCGGTTCCGGGGTCTCCAACATTCTTCGCGGCTGTGGTCCTAAATCCGTACGAAGCGGAGGCGGTGGAGCTTGAGGATCTTGCTGGTGTGAAATGACTGAGTACAAACTGGTGGTGGTTGGAGGAGGTGGTGTTGGGAAAAGCGCACTGACAATCCAGCTAATCCAGAACCACGTTGTTGATGAATATGATCCCACCACAGGGGATTCTTACCGAAAACAGGTGGTTATAGATGGTGAAACCTGTCTGTTGGACATACTGGATACAGCTGGACAAGAGGAGTACAGTGCCATGAGAGACCAATACATGAGGACAGGAGAAGGCTTCCTCTGTGTATTTGCCGTCAATAATAGCAAGTCCTTTGCAGACATTAACCTCTACAGGGAACAGATTAAGCGAGTAAAAGACTCAGATGATGTACCTATGGTGCCAGTAGGAAACAAGTGTGATTTGCCAACAAGGACAGTTGACACAAAACAAGCCCATGAACTGGCCAAGGGTTATGGGATTCCATTCACTGAAACCTCAGCCAAGACCAGACAGGGTGTTGAAGATGCCTTTTACACACTGGTAAGAGAAATACGTCAGTACCGAATGAAAAAACTCAACAGCAGTGATGATGGGACTCAGGGTTGCATGGGGTTGCCATGTGTGGTGATGTAACAAGATACTTATAAAGTTCTAGCATCAGAAAAGAGCCACGGTCAAGCCGCACTGACACCCTGGTCCTGACTTCCCTGGAGGAGAGATATTCCTGTTGCTGTCTTCAGTCTCACAAAGAAGCTCCTGCTACTTCCCCAACTCTCAGTAGATCAGTACAATATTCTCTATTTGAGAAGTTCTCAGAATAACTACCTCCTCGCTTGGTTGTCTGACCAGAGAAATGAACCTCTTGTTACTCCCCGGTATTTTTCCACCCTGGGTTCTCCCCTAACACACACAGACACAACTCCGCCACCCCACGTTTTTCACCTGAGAAACAATTTATGCTCTGAAACAGAGAACCAAACTATAGACATCAAATTCTTTACAAAACAGTGTCTTGAGCTCTAAAGTAGCAACTGCTGGTGATATTTTTTCTTTTTACTGTTGAACTTGGAACTATGTTGGTTTTTGGAGAAATGTCATTAATTACTGTTTTGCTGAGAATATAGTTAATGTTGCTGTTCGGTTTGTTTGTAATGTTATTGGCTATATTCTACAAAATGGCATCTACTCTGTGTTCATAAATACAAAAGTGAATACTGACTTTTGAGTCTATCCCAGTCTTCTCAACTTTCATGTAATTAAATCTAACTTTCACAATGAAATAAAAAAACAAAAAAGAGGAGTGGACATGAGATGGAATCTCAAAAAGCAAATTACATGACAGTGTTGACAGTAGGGGGGGGGTCTGTCTGCATCATGGTTCAGTAAGAATACAGCAAAACTCCCCTCTGTGAACAACACATGCACTCACAGTCCGGTGTGTATTCTGGTACGTTCCCAGGATCGGTTCACAATCTATATTGAGTTATTCACCCCGAAGCCGTTCCCATGCCTGACACCCTCCTTAGTTCCCCTGTGGGTCATCTTGGGATGTGGAGAGTTAGGTTTCCCTGAGTTCTTTTCCCCCAGAGGTCGAGGAATGGATGAGTGTGGTGGAGGAGAGAGAGCTTGGGGACACCCGACACCCAGGAATTGGGGTCGGGGTTCCCCTGCGAGGCTCTGACTTCCTGGGGTAGCATGAGGGTAAGAGAACAGAGCCCCCACAAAGCCTGTTTCACTTTTCCTCCCTTTCCTTGAGCCAGCCCTGCCTGCAGTCCACCTCTCAGGACTCACCCATGCGGGAAGCCATCAGCGTCCAGAGCCTCTCTGTGTGTTTGCTCAGGGAGAGGGGAAAGCAGGACATTATGTGGATGATTTTTGTGAACATTTGCTCAGTGAAAGAAGCCAGACACAAAAAGCCACATAATGCATGATTCCGTTGATATAAAATGTCCAGAACAGGCAAATCCATAGACAGAAAGCGGATTAGGGGGGGAGATGGAGAGGAACTGTTAATGGGTATGGGGTCGCCTCTTGGGGAGATTAGTGTTTTGGAACCAGATAGAGATAATGGTTGCACGACATTGTAAATGTGCTGAATGTCACCGAATTGCGCTAATTTTATGTGATGTAAATTTTATTTCAACTAAAAAAGAAAAGAGGATCATGTAACATCCTCTGGATTTATTTGTCACGCCCCAGAGCTCTCCCCTGTGACGGGGACGAGGGTGAGGACGGGGCACAAGGCTGCAGGTGGCCCACGTCCCCTGGTTGTGACGACAGAGCAGGAAGGAGGGTCGAGAAAGAACAGAATCTTGAGTCAACTGGGGTTTGAAACAAAGACCGAAAGCCGAGGGTTTTTCCAGAGTTGAACCGTGTCAGAAACCCACAGTGTTTGCAAATTACGGGAAGACAGAGCTCAAGAAGAAAACCCTGCTTCAAACACAGAAGATGACAAATACTCGATGGGCACGTCTGTGCACCCACGATGATATCAACAATTGAAGAGCCTGGGAAATGACGCAGAGCTGAAAAGCATGCAGAAGGGAGGCTGGATGGATTCGTCTGGACGCCAACGCTAATAACTGGACCCGAGATCCAAACGGTCCCTACGCCTGGAGGGAACAGTGCCCCAAAGACGTCATCAGAGATTTCGACACCTGATACGCTGGGTCACAGTCTTCACGGCTGGAGAGGGGAGAGGGTCTCCCAGGAGCTGCCTGGAGGCTCAGCCGGGGACACTGATGGAGACAGCGGGTCCTTCTGAGAAACGGAGGCTGCACGAGGAGAGACGGGTGTCCGAGGTGTTGGGGGCTTTCAGTCTGAGTTTTATTCCTTCCAGGCCTTTTCAGAACACGTGGAGAATTTGTTCCAATGCAGTGACCTGGGTGTGGGCCACGTCAGAAGGGACAGCGTTTGAATTAGTTTCTTGGAATGGTTGTAACGGTTGACCACCAAGGAGGCGGGGCTTAAAAGCACAGAAATTCACCCAGACGTCTGAGATGAAGGTGTCGCAGGGCCGTGCTCCCTCCAGAGGCTCCAGGGGAGGGTCCTTCCTGCCTCTTCCAGCTTCTGGGGCTCCAGGCGTCCCTGGGCTGGTGGCCGCCTCCCTCCATCTCTGCCTCCGTCTCCACGTGGCTTCTCCTCTGTGTCTGTGTCTCCTCTTCTGTCTCTGATGAGGACACCTGTCATTGGATTTAGGGCCACCCTCCTCCAGGACGACCTCATTTCCATCCTTCACTTAATCACATCTGCAAAGACCCTGTTTCCTAATAAGGCCCCATTCTCCAGTCCTGGGTGGACACAAATTTTGGGGGGAAACACTTCAACCCAGGACAGGGGTCTTGAAGAGTTACTTCCACCATTTCCATCGGCCTCAGCTGCTCTGGTCTCCCAAAAACTTTCAGGATGCTGACCACAAGAAAGGTGGCCCCTCCCACCGCCAACCCTGGGACTTTACCTTTCTCCAGGTGTGCATGCCTGGTGGCTGGACGGTGCCACGGCCCTCCCCTCCCACACCCAGGCCTCTGTCTTTGTCCCCAGCATCCTGCTGTATGACCCCATCCAGCTGGAGTCCCTCCATCCTGACCACTCGCTCCAGGGGGGGAAGTGTGGGTGGGAGAAGAGCAGCCACAGTGCGGGAGTGTGGAAGGATGAGGGCGCCCCAGAACAGAAGGTGGGTGCCATTCTGATGGAGCCACGTGAGCCCCTCGGATGCCCCTCCTGGGAGCTGTGCCTGTGTTTCCTCTGCTGCGCCACCCTGCACGTCTCACGTTTCTACAACGTGACTGAGCTGTTTCCTGCACCAGGAGTGTTGGAAATGCTCTCCCTCTAGATCTTTGCGTGGCTGCCACCTTCTCGTCACCCAGGTCATCTCTCAGCGAGACCTGCAATGACTCGCTTCATTCGTTGGAGCACAGCTGTCTGCTGACCAGAGCCACCGCCCCCATGAAAGGAAGCAGACCAGCAGCGAGACCAGAATTGCACCTACCTCTTCCTGTGGTTTGGAGTCATCCTTGTGCCTCTGCTGGGGTGGCTGAAGAGCAAACAAATATGGAAGGCAAAAACAACAAGCGTTGGTGAGGAAGTGGAGAAATTGGAACCCTGTGCACTGCTGGTGGGAATGGAAAATGTCACACGCACTGTGTAAAACAGTATATGGCAGTTCCTCAAAAATGAAGCATAGAGTTTCCACGTGGCCTGCAATTCCACTCTTGGGTATGTAGCCAAGAGAATTGAAAACGGGGACTCAAATGAGACCTTGTACACACGTGTTCATAGCAGCGTTATTCACAATAGTCAAAGGCAGAAACAACGCAGGTGTCCATTGACAAATGAAGGGATGAACAAAATGTGGTCCATCCGTGCAGTGGAATATTACTCAGCCATGAACAGGAGAGAAGCACTGACACAGCTACAATGTGGATGGACCTTGAACACGTGATGCTCAGTGAGAGAACCAGACACAGAGGGCCGCATAGTGTGTGATTCCATTTATATGAATTGTCCAGAACAGGCAAATCCACAGAGACAGAAGGTGGATTCATGGTTGCCAGGGGCTGGGGGAGGGGGATGGAGGGTGACTGCTCATGGATACGGGGTCTCCTTGGGCTGATGTGAATGTTCTGGAACTGGATAGAGATGGTGGTTGCACAACGTGGTGAATCTGCTAAGTGCCGATGTATTGTGCACTTGGAAATGGTGAATGGCGTGCTATGTGGATTTTACCACAATAACATAAAATGTCCCTGGCTCCTGGGTGGCACCACTGAAGTCACTCCAATGGACACCACTGTCTGGGCACAGGATCGTCTGTGGCTCCTGGACATGATTGGGGCACCTCTCTGTTCTTCCTACTGGAGCCGACTCACCACCCCCAATCACTCAGGGGCTCCATGGGGGAACCAAGGCCCTGGCCGTCCCTCCTTTGGATCCTGGGTTCCTGTCTGGTCTTAGCAGGTGGGTGACAACCACCGGCCGTGCCTAGGTCTGTCCTTCTCGGGGACCCCACTGTCTGCCTCCCACAACCCTCGTCCTCAGCCTAAGCTTCCACCATCTGCACACAGGTTCCTTCTCGTTCCAGAAAGCCTTCATCGTTCGTGGTCCTGAAGCGATATACCCTCGTGGGGTGGGGTCTGGGGGGAGACCAAAGTGGTCACAGAACACAGGGTAGGAGTGGGACCGTGTGTCAGGATAGTGGTTGGGAATCAGACCCCCTCTTGGAAAGCCTGGTTACAGGTTCATATTGGAGAAGGGGAACGTGAGGCTGGAGAGTAGATGGTGATTTTCCCAAAGGGGTCCTGAGTGCCATGGGATGGGGCTTCTTTCTCCCTCCTCCAGCCCAGTGCTCTCCTGATGGTACAATCAGTGAGCCCCCCTGGGCCCCCAAATCTGGACCTACAAGCCTCTTGTTGCAGTCAATACGCATTTTAGGTTTGATGTGTGGGAGCAGGGAGTGGGTGAGAGGTAGCCATTCCCTGCGTTTCTCTTTCCACCATCTTTGCAGAGGGGTGGTGGGGGTGTGCTCTGCTCCGAGGCAGGAGGAACGGGGAATAAACTATTCCTGTTTTCTTGTAATCCCCACTCTAAGCAGATTTAATGGCCCTGTTATTGCCGAGCAAAATTGGGTCCTTATGAAACAAGTTACAAAGTGCCTTTGTGGGGCCCGTTCTGCAATAATAAGAAAAAGGGTTGAGGTCCTCTTGGGCCATCTGCTCCTTATTAGCACGTTGCCTGAGTGGGGCTGCGTCTCTGAGCACGGGGTTCTGTTTTCATTAAACGCCTAGTCTAGTGGGGCCGTATTTTTTTTTTTTTTTTAACGTTCGAGCAAAATGTAGAGCTTGAATTGCAAGTAACCTCCAAGAGGACACAGGAGATCTGGACTTTCAAATTCCTGTCCCACACGATCCCGTTCATCTCTGCTCGGTCACTCTTGTTGTGGGATGGAGCGTAAAGAGAGATGAGCTGTATTTTAACATTTGGCCTGGCAGGTGCAATGTGTATGGTCCTACAGGGAAGGGAAATGGAGCCGAATCGTAACGGATAAAAGAGTGTGTGAGGGTGAGATGGGGAGCTGGACGGATGCAAGGGAAGTGGGAAGAGAAGACGATGTGAATAGAAGATGCTGGCTCATGACAATCTGGTCCTCACCTTAGACACATGCACAACTCACTTCAGTAGAATTTGCAGCCTGCACATCTTTTTCTTCTCTTTTTTTTCCCCCGGTACACTAAAAGGCAAGAGCAAATATAAAGACAGCCAGCATGACAAACGACTATGGCATGATAGTCGTGCACGGTTGTATCTTTACCAGTTAGTGAAATGTTGACACTGGGGATGCAGCTGTGAGCTGGTTTAGGGCTTCTTGCTTCTCCCCGTCAAGCCTGTAGAAGCGCAGCTTTGTGCATGAAATTCCATCTGCCTGTCGCAGCTATGCCTGCGACACACCTTCGACACGCCTTTGGGGGTCCAGCTGCCTTTCTGACTCCCGGGCTCTCACAATGGAAACTTTCACCAAGAACGGAATTGCAAACCTCACCGCCTTGCAAATTGCCCTAAAAACCATGTGAATGACAACACAGCTTAGAGGACTTGGGTGCTGATAATTCCTCATTTGTGAATCCGAGACTCTTACAGTTTTGCAGGTAATCGGGTGGAGTTTAGAGACTGCCTTTCAGGGGACAGTCTCTCCATCCCCGAGGAGGCCCAGGGCTGTGGGTCTGCAGGTGCAGGGGTCCCGGATTCTGAGGCGGGCGCAGTGTGACCCCGTGCCGGACTATCACAGAGGGAGGAGAGAGACTGCGAGGCTCGCAGCTGTGCTTGGAGCCGCCCCACCTAGGATGGCATTTCTGATTTGGTTTTACTGTGATTGTCTTGGTGCAGTTAGTTTATCTGGGAAGTGGTTCCAGGAGGCTCTGAGAAGGATTGGGGAGAAGAGTCGGAGGTAGGAAGAACAACAACAAGAGGTGTGTTTTCAAGCCAATTTCTGCTTTTGGCAACAGGATCGGGTCCTGGTGGGCCCTCGAGAGAGTGTGCGGAGCCCAGATGCTTTGCAACCCTGAGGTGATGGACTCTGGATCCCGCAATGACATAGTCTTCTGTCCCTTTTATGAAACACACGTGTGTCCTTCGTTAGGTGCTGGGCATGTCCACAGATCTCTGCAGGAATTTACTCATTTGATCCAACCATACCGAGTTGGTTCCTAGGCTAAATCTGCCTGTCCTCAGGGTGTGGTCTGTGCCCGTGGCTGGGGCCGCAGATGTGGGGCTGGGAAGTGAAGATCCATGGATCCTTCCGGAGAAAGGGAGATGGTGCCTGCAGGTGGAAGTTCTAGTTAGTGCACGGCCTTCAAGGATAGGGACCATTTGCCGGTAGGAATTCCAGCCGTCTCTCTTTCTTCTTCCTCCCTCCCCACCTCACTGGCTGCCGGCTCCTCCCAGGGTTCGCTGTATTGGCTTTGTTTTTCTGGAATGTTCCAGGATCCCTTCGTCCTTCTCTGCCCAGCCCCATGCTGCTTCTTCCACTGGAGCCCTCAGCCTGTGCCACCTGCCCCATTGTGCTGAGGTTCATCTTCCTTGACTTGACATTTCTTTGAGGTTCATCTTCCTTGACTTGACGTTTCCTTGAGGTTCATCTTCCTTGACTTGACGTTTCCTTGAAGTTCATCTTGCTTGATTTCCTTGAGGTTGATCCTCCTTGATCACCATCCCCGTCCGCTGTGCTGTGAGCATGGAGAGGAGAAGGAGGGTAAAGAAGGGAAGCGAGTGAGGCCAGGCAGCTCACTGCTTACAACGTGGAGCAAACCCGTAGGAGACACTGGGAGGGGAGAGAGAAAAACCCACAAAGCAAATCTGTCAGCTGAACTAGGGCCTGGTGCTCGGGATATCAGAGGAGAGGAGGGAAACCACCCTTAGCATAAGTCTATCCCACTCAGTCTTCAGGATGGACATGCCAAAGCCATTATCCCTTGTCCGTCTGATGAGCAAATGTAACCGAGAGTCTCGGATTTCAGCTGGGAACCGTAGGACTGAGGATCCTCTGAACTGGAGACGGAATGGCAGAGACACCCTCCCTGGGCCTTCTGCTCCCCTCACGGGGGGCTGGGGGCATTGGCTCTGTTCTCCTGAGGGTCCGACGAGGGCTGGGTCCATCTGGGCTGGGCCTGTTTAGACAGATCCGTGATTGCTTCTTACCTCCAGCACGTTGGTGGCTGGTTAAAGCCTGTTGTGCAAATGAGGAGACCATGCATGGGGCCTGGGCACTTGTTCCTGCCGAGATAGTGATGACCACACAGGAGGGGCCAGGGGGAGAATGGGGAGGGAGATAAAGACTCTCAGGGGCCCCCCATCAACGTCAGGGAGACGGTCCCTCCTAGAGATTCACCTGTCCAAATGGAGGTGGGTTCTGCACGCCGGACCTGTGGCTTCCCTATGAAGACTTCCTGGGGCTTGGGGGACCCTTTGCCGGTGATTATGGGGCCGAGTAATGATTCCCAGAACTGCCATGGCTCTGTTTTTTAGCATGTTTCCAAACTAATCGGAGAGTAGGGAGTGGGCTCTGAGCTGGGGGACATATAAAGCCACATGAGAGGTCACCTTATCCAAGATGCACCCAGGGAGGCCGCAGGCTCTGCAGCCAGGAGGCGAGGCCGTGACCACCCCTGCCCCATGGGCTCTGGACCCTGGGTTTGGGGAGGGAGGGGGGATCTGACTTCAAACTCTGCCAAACTGCCCTGTGGCTGCTTTCAAACCCTTTTAAAACTGGCAAACCTTTTAATCAAGCAACTTTAGTTGTTTGAACGAAATGGTTAAATATTTTGGGAGTTTGCACTTTTTGTCAAATATTTTATTGAAATCATAAACGTTTATAACGTAGCATAATTTTGGGTGTACATTATTATTTATCAATTTCTGTGTAGACTGCATCATGCTCACCACCAATAGTCTAGTTTTTATCCATCACCATATAAACGTGCCCCTTTACCCCTTTCACCCTCCGCCAATCCCCTTCCCCTCTGGTAACGACTAATATGTTCTCTTTGTCCATATGTTTGTTTATCTTCCACATATGAGTGAAATCATGGAGTGTTTGTCTTTGTCTGGCTTATTTCGCTTGGCATCATGCCTTCAAGGTCCATCCATGGTGTTGCAAAGGGGACGATTTTGTCTTTTTTATGGCTGAGTAGTATTCCATTGTACATAAATACCACAACTTCTGATTTTTGTTTTCAATAACATGGCCACATATCCACATGGGGGGAAGGAAGGGACGTGATGAGCTGGCGACAGGTGATGGGACGATGGTCTTCCATGAACCGCCCTCCATCTGTGTCTCCCTCATTCATTGCTTTCCTACCTGGGTTCTGAGATGGGCTGAGATGCAGGAAATCAAATAATTTGCTTATATTGGTTGTTTCGATGCCCAATCTCTATCCATTGATACTTTGATTTCACAGATGAGAAAATTAAGGAGTGAACATTTTTTCCAGGAAATGTCATATGTTTCTAGTCATTGCCTGGACCAGAGAATTTTGCTGTTGCACATAAGTAAATGTATTTCTGTTATATTTAGTGAAATAATGTGTATATTATGTGCATCCCCAGTCACATATCCGTATATGCGTATATAAGATACATATAAATATATATAGGTAGAGAATATATAGAATATATACATATAAATATATATAAAGATATAATTATATATTAACATATGTAGGTATATCTAACATCATCTATCTTTATATGCACGTGTATGAAGATATAAAGTTATTTATACACCTATCTGTTGATGTACATCTAAAGACATCGATATCATTAAAGCCATTTTCCCCTTCCAATGAGTAAGTTCTACCGCTGAATTTCTCTCAGTTCTGCTTCATTCATCTGGTGAATCCAAATCTGTGTCTTGTACACCTACAGGATCCTGTCGAAGAGCCAAGATCTATGAAATTATGTTCAAATTTCATGAAGATCGTGTATGATGGGAAATCAACCTTAGTCAATATTTGTCTGTAATCACATCTAAAATAATGATGGGCACCCTGTATCGTTGTGCTAGGACGGCCATAATAAAAGACCACAGACTGGGGGCTTAGACAACAGACATTTATCTTTCCTCGTCCTGGAGGCTGGAATCCACGTTCCAGGTGTCACAGGGCTGGTTCCTCCCGAGGCCTCTCTCCTTGGCGTGTAGACCCCGTCTTCTCCCCGTGTCCTCACGTGGTCGTCCCTCTGTGTGTGTCTGTGTCCTCATCTCCTCTTCTCATAAGGTCACCAGTCCTATTGGATCAGGACCCACCCTAGTGACCTCAGTTTACCTGCATCACCTCTTTAGAGACCAATCTCCACGTACAGTGACATCCTGAGGTCCTGGGATCAGGCATCCAACATGTGAATTTGAGGGACACGATTCAGCCTATGACAAATCCCTCCAAGAAAAACAAAGGCTGTGGAAGAATGGGACGTGAACAGGCTTGAAACACTAATCCGATCCTGTCTTTCTTCCCATTTTTGGAGTTTTAGTCTCAAATGGTCACTCCCAGAAAATGCATGCTGGGGATTTGCAACATGAGGCGGGAAGCGGGTCGATTTGGAGAGGCCAGAAACCCCTCGTTTGTAGAGTCACGTGAATGCATTCGGGCATCAGTTGGGCGTGTTTACCGCAGACTCATCGTGGAGCATCAGTGTGGACGTTTATAAAGCATGGGGCTCACCAGAGCAGCAGGTGGACCACAAGGGAAGGTCCTGGGGTCGGTGCTGTTGGGGATCAGTGGGGATACAGGAGGAGCAGGGCAGGATTTTGAGTTTGTACGTAAAACGGGGAGATGTTGTTGAATGGGGTGACAGTTTGTAATGCCAATAGGAACCAGAGAGGAGAGAGTCCAAAATGATGCTGGGGGAGGAGGGGACGGAGGCTGGATGGGCAAATTGCAGAGGAGGTTCTGGTTATAAGGGACAAGACCGGGGCCTTGGCTGGGACAGCAAAATGGCTGGGGGCAGTGCCACTCCATGCCTACAGGATCGTGTCTGCAGGGTCCAGGAGGGAGCTGGCTGGGCCCCACATTGGCTTCCCGCTGTGGGTGAGTCTTGGGGAAGCCAGGATTCGTTGAGAGACCAGAGGAGATGTGCAAACCGGGAAGTGGGATACATGGGGGTGTCTTTGGGGAGGAGCTATGGCCAGGAGCCAGGCCCTGAGGGAAGGATGGACCCCAGACACTCGCTTGTCACAGATGGCTGCAGCCTGGGCAGGGTTGACCTGCATGGGGGAGGGTCAGCTGTCCAGGGCCCAGGGTTGTGACCTGGCTCCCATGGGGGAGAGCCTGGACGTCCATCTCCTTCACATGGGCTCCATGGGTGTCCACTCTGAACAGGACTGTTGGGGCTATGCCCACCCCAGACCAAGGACTCCGTGTGTGTGTGTCTATATATGTATGTGTGTGTGTGTGCACATACAGGAAGCTACATATGTACATACATGTGGTAAGTGTATATACACACAAATATAGACTGTATATATATACACACACACATATACCAACATACCATACACATCTATATATGGTACACACACTTATAAATACAGATATATAAATATATGATGCATATGTACTATGTGTATATATATGCATTCACATATCTAAATATGCCATCTGTATATACACCTATGCATATTAGGGCATATGTGTATATATACGTATATGTGTGTATACATACATATATATGTACGTATATAGATGGTATGTGCATATACACACATATAGAGTACATATAGACTCACATATATCAATATATCATATACATCTGTATATGGCAAACACACATATATAAATACAGATATGTATAGATATATGATGCATATGTACTATGTGTGTATATACACATTCACATATATAAATATGCCGTCTGTATACATACCTATGCATATTACGGTGTGTGTATATATAAGTATATGTGTGTATACATACGTATAAATATATATGTACATATGTAGATGGTATGTGTATACACAACATATAGAATATATATAGACTCACATATATCAATATACCATATACATCTATATATGGCACACACACATATATAAATGTAGATATATATAAATATATGATGCATATACATAAGGTGTATATACATATGCATCCACATATATAAATATACTATATATATCTATGCATGTTACGGTATGTGTATATGTGTGTGTGCATATGGTATGTTCATACACACATATAACATGTACATATACATATATATATGTGCAATAGGTGTATATATATTGTGTGAGCATCATAGAGTATACTTTCACAAACCTAGATGGTACAGCCTCCTACACAACTAGGCTGTGTGTACTAATCTGATGGGACCACGATTGCACCTGTGGTCCATCTTTGACGGAAACGTTGTTATGTGGTGCATGAGTGTATATGGTCTATGTGTATATTCTATATATGTGTACATGTCATATTTTATATATATAAAGCATTATATAGACAATTTAAATTTATATATTTTATATATCTATATACGCACACATCCGTATATACATTGCATAAACACACCCACACAAACATATATGGGGTCTTTATACGTATATATAAATATGGGCACTCAATGTAAGACGTTATTAATTCCCCACGACAAAGTGTGGCTCTGCCCACACCTTGATGAGTCTACTGAAGTCAGGAGGAGGGTGCAGGAGGACCACACTGACCTCAGGAGGCCAGCTGTGGTCATTGGTGCTCATGGCCTCGGCCCCCGGGTTCCAGGGTGAGGGGTCAGCTCCAGGAGGCAGGTCGAACGTGAGGGCATTGGTCATCATCGTGCGTCCAGAGATGTCGACATGTGTGCAAGGTCTGAGGGGCAATGGGATCCAGACTGGGCACACCTTCCAGGAAATCCTAGTTGATCAAGGACTTTTCTCCCATTTTTAACGCAGTTCTTAAGGAAAACTGGATTTCCTACACTTGGCTGTGTTTCCTCTGGACCCCAGATACTGAGGTCAGAATTAATACCCTGTGAGTACTAATGGAGAGAGAGAAATCAGTGAGATCCCATGGCGCAGGACCCACTGGCCAAAGTTGGGGGTTTCTCCTATGACCACGTTCAAAATCCTCTGCTACCTCAGGCCCACTGTCATGGACCATCCCATTGGGAGGACGGAGACGGGCATCTCCACCTTCTTGGAATGGACACATTTGTGTTCACCTGTGAAAAATTAAGAGGAGATTGTAAGTGATTCCCTGGACCGTGGCTGCCCCTCCCAGCATCCAGCATCATGCCCGGGACACGGTGCATGCTTCACAAATGTCTGTCAAATGTTGTGGGGTGCATTACGCATTGGGGCAAATGAAGCGTTTCTAACTCTTGGGTGCGATCAAGGTGGGCTTTTCAGAGGCGCAGCAGCAATGCCTACGATAGCAATGGAGGTATTGATAAATACGTGTGTTTTATTAACATGGCCGAGGGGCAATAGATGCTGATAACCTCTTCATTTCCGAGCAGCAGCATCCGCGCGCCATCGTTCCCACCTTCCCCGGATTTGAACCAATTCCTTGTCCTGCCTGCCATTAATATCATCCAATCTCTATCCCTCTTTACAGGCAACAACCATGTGCGTTTGGGTAATTACTGCCGTTGAGGGGCTCTCATCCGAGACTCTCATCTCCCGAGCGTCCGTCCACACCGCACGATGGCAAAGCCAGCGCGCGGCCGTTAATATATGGAAACGCCGTTTGTACTTCACCATCCTACTGGGAGTCGATCTAGCCGCTAAGTGGATGCAGAGATTTTAAAATGCACCGATGGTTCCCGACACCCGAGTTGCCACGGGCGCTTTTCCCCGTGGAGTGCAGGAGTGCTGAATAAATAAGGCACATTTCCGAGGCGGGCAGCCCGGCATCTGTGTCATCCTCGCCTGGTGGTGAGCAGGGCACGAGCATCCTTCAGAGACGGGCACATAAGTATGCAGATTCTCCAGCACATCCTCACCCTGACAAACATCTACTCTGACACCGATTATATTTACCGACAGACACATCCCCTTTTTCAATATAATAGGAATTTGTAGGCGACGGGCCGCTCCGCTGTTGAATATTAAGGGATCAGAGCCGACGTGGAGGGGTGGTGATAATTTGCAGGGTGACTTGTTCTGGGTTCTCCTTTACCCGGATTCCTGTGACACCAGGTAATTGAAGGGGCCTCGATCGTGTTCCTGTTTAGTTTTTGGGGTCCTGAGATGAGGCACTTTTTACCAGGTTGGTCATGTTTAACTTTTGAGAAGTATATTTCTTCATGCACCCCTTTTTATTTAAATGAGTCATTTTAAAGTTGACAATAGAAATGCTCTGAAACACACAGATGGGCTTGCGATGGAGAGCGACAGCCTTCTCTCCTGCATTTCTGTAACAACTTCCCTCCACGCTCGTCAATGCTTTTAGTTCTTCTGGTTATTTCTCCATTGACATAGATTGTCTTTATAACCATGATTTAGAACTTTTTTTGGACATTGTCTGCGGTCTTCTTGCTCTAACAGCTCAGTCATCACCCTCATCTTCCCTGATAGTTCTTTCCCCCATTGCATCACTGTTGCGATATTGGGATGGAATAAGCAATATGTATGTGGTCTTCTTCCTGGTTTCTGGCACAGAGCTCCTAAGACCTTTGGGAAGTCCTGAGTGACAGGGGTGAGCAAGGCGCCTCTTGTTATTTATAACAAGCCCCTTTCAGTCTTACCTGAGTTTATGCTGATGGGGTGACACCTGGAGGATGGGGCTGGTCATCTGAGGAACCAACCCTGTGATTAGAGGGTGGGAACTTTCAGCCTCTCCTCCATCTCCAAGGAGGGGGTACAGGATGAGGATTGAGGTCAATCACCAATGGCCAATGGTTTCATCAATCGTGTCTACATAACGGGACCCCCATAAAAACCGTCCATGGAGAAGGTTGGCCTCATCACCTTCAGACTGGCGTCTGAAGTTGAGGGTGCCGTCTAGTGCGACCGAGCCCGTAACCCGTGGGTTCTGCACTAACTCTGGGCAGTCAGCATGGGAATTGAGTTAAATTGTGGGACAGCTGGTCAGCATCTATTAAGAACTGGAAAATCGCTGGGTGTGTGAAACCCACACATGCGGTGTCAGGAGCTTTGTGAGCAGTAATAGAGAGGAAATCGTTGGTGCTTGCATTTTTTTAATGATTCATTTCTCTACTGCTTAATGTTGAACCTGCAATCACCAGAAATCGATGGGTCCTAATTGCAAGAAACAGCAAGGACTGTATAAACGCATGTGCCCACTGACCCAGCAAAGCTGTTTCTAGGAGCTCACCACAAGGAAAGGAGCAGAGTTGTATTTTTTGACAGTTTGTATGAGTAGGATGATATTAGGAAACTCTAACAATCCGAACTCTTTGTCAGTACCGGTGTCTGCACATTGGCCGTACTCAGAATAGCATGGATTGCAGAGGCTCTGGGTAGGAGTCAGCATAAGGGCTCCCCAGAAAGTTAAACACAGACAGTCCACGTGACCCAGCAATTCTGCTCCCGGGTAGGTACCTGAGAGAGTAGAAACAGGTGCTCAAACAGAAATTTGCACTAATCTGTTCATAGAACATCATTCACGGTGAGGGTTGATTTGAATTGTGCATATATATATAATCTTCCTATTGGTTCTCTTTCTCTGGAGAACTCTGACTAGTACGTTAACAGTGGCCAAAAGGTGGAAGCAGCCCAAGCGTCCACTGACGGACGAGTGGATAAACAGAAGGTAGTCCATCCATACAGTGGAATATTACTTGGCCATGAACAGGAGTGGAGCACTGACACAGGCTACAATGTGGATGGACCTTGAACGCATGATGCTCGGTGAGAGAAGCCAGACACAAAAGGCCACATGGTGTGTGATCCCATTTATATGAAATGTCCAGCATAGGCAAATCCATAGAGAGAATGCAGCTTAGTGGTTGACAGGGGCTGGGGGAGGGGGATGGGGAGTGACTGCTCATGGGGACGGGGCTTCCTTTTGGGGTGATGAGAAAGTTCTGGAAATAGTGGTAACGGTTGCAAAACATTGTGAATGTGCTAAACGCCACCGAAATGTGCACTTCCAAAGGGTTAATTGCATGGTATGTGAATTTCGCCTCAATAAAAAATAAACATAATACGAATCCGCGTGAACACACAGACGGGGATATAAGAAATCTAAAACTAAACACGCGCTCCCCACTCTCAGGAAAGCCCGCTTCCTTACTCCCCAGGACAGGGGCCTCCTTCTCACCCGAGGTCCCAGAGGAGAAAGATCGCTTCCACTCAATGCCTTGAATGTAGACACCTTTCCCGCCTCTGACATGCATGTGCCTGCAAATTGTAGGTTCTTCCTTTTTTGGTGAGTCGTGGAAAATCTTCTGCTCTCGAACGTGGTTCGAGAGAGATTTAGACAGAATTACAAAGGAGACCTCGGACAACAGTCCTATACCAGACTTTCATGGGGTGAGTCCCTTACCCACCCCGGGCTGACCCCAGGGGCTCTGTCCCCTCAGATGTTGTGGGTTTTCCCCAGGAGCCGAGATGGAAGGGGAGGTTTCAGGTGGAAAAAAGCCCATTCTTTCCCTTTTCTCCACTCCAACGAGCCTTTCAGGCTGGGCTTTGTATGAGTGAAGCGAAGGCTTTCAAACATTTGCTCTGGGTGTTTGTGAAAGGAAGGCTCTGGGAGCGAGCTTTGCCATTGATGTGAGAGCCGGCTTTGAAAGACTTCCTCAGCGTGTGGGTTTCACGGAAGCACAGACGTGGTGTTCCGGAGAGCGGAGATCAAATGCCAGGAATGTTAAGGTCTCACACAGAAAAGAGACCTCACCCCCCAGCTCCTGGGAGGATGGCTGGGGCATCTTTGAAGGGAGAGCTGTGTGGCACTCAATGTGCACAGACTCCTGGGCTGGGCAGGATCAGACAAGCCGGGCGGAGGCTGGCTTCCATCCCGGAGGATAAAGTTGATCCTACGGGGCCAGGGAACAGGAACGCTTTGCAATGCGAGTTCTGCCTTCCGGGGTCTTCCGTCTGCACTAGGATGTGGTGTCAGAAGGGCCGGCTTCTCTGCCATCATCCAGCCAGACCTCCCGGGTTCCCATGGATTCTGAGAAATGTGGTGGATTCCTCTGGAAATCGCATGTCGACATAACGACTACTGGGAATCATCGAGACATCCCGAACGCTCCTTACTGGCCCGGAGACAGAAGGGGTTGATTTGGGTCCTTCTGGAAGCCACATTGGGCTGTTCTTGTTCTACTGGGTTCTGTGCAAGAAAAGAAAACACAACTCTTGCTGATGTGAAGTAAATGTGTTGGGCAAAGATTCAGCTGAGGAAATGGATAATTGAGCACTGGGTTCGTGGAAGGGAATGTGGCCTGATCGTGCGAGGCTGTTGGTGGTGGCTTTTGGGTTCGTGT